TCGCGAACGTTCGTGCGGGGAGTGTGCTCTCTTTATCTGTCGCTCCCTCTCTCTCTCTCTCTCTCTCTCTCTCTCTCGCTCCCTCTCTCTGTAGAAGATAGCTCCTGTGGAAGCGCCTAGGAGATTCACACCACCGTACGTGATGCTCCTTGCATCGTGTTGGGCTTCTCGGCTGTTGACAGTGCAGCCTTTAGAAGGCGAGGTTTGGCATTTTCTAGGCCAGGATTTTGACTTAACGCTTTGATCTTGTCTTGTGGGGGTTTGCAAAATCGTCACCTGGAAAATGCGACTTGGACAAGCCGTGACCTGACGATCGTGCCGGTCCGCCTGCGTAGAGTCGTACAGTGCGCGCGCAGCACATATTTCTAGCACTCTTGGCAGGATTGGTTTTCTGGCTGTATTTCATCCGGTCGTGCCGAGCGAAAGCGTTTCCGGTAGCCGGTTCCGACTGTTCAAACCTCCTCCCTGCACGGTTCGGATCGGGTCCAGCGGCGCTGCCCAACAGGCTGTTCCGGATGGGCGCCTACCTACGGCGAGCAGCTGGCCCTTGTGTCGAGCTTGCGGATCTCGCAGGGCATCGAGTTGGAGGCACCTTCAGACCTCGAAGCTGCACTGAGCAGCTGGGTGTCCAGCTTGAGGCTTTTATGAGATCTTGGGAACAGGCCTCAAAAGATTGGTTTACTCCAGTCAAGTCAAGTCTAGCCTGCATCTCGCCTGTCCTGAATCCCGTGTTCTCGGTTTAGTTTAGTGCAGACCCCAGTGCCACGGAAGGTTTTCAGAAGCTTGAATATATTAATTGAGGCTTCGGGATTTTAGGTTTGGGGTTCACGGGATGCTGGAGTAATAGACTGGTGTGCTTCGCCCTTGCATCCGGCACCCTGGGAAAGCCAGAAGGGGAACTTGCAAAGTCATGGATGGTGAGAAAATAGATACCAGATCGAAGCGTCGCGGTGGGGGTAACAGAAACAGTAAGGTAAGTTCAAAAGTATGCACAGCTTCATGACATCAGCAACCATCCACATAGCCCCCGACGAACTCGTCCACATGCTGCTTCTGCTTACCATCTTCACTTTCATCCATCTTGAACTTCTGTACCATCTTGGCTCCACTTTGTAATTTCGGCTTAGCATTGGTACAGGAGGGCACAGGGCGCGGTACCAGGAGCTTTGATGGCTTTTGCTACATTCTCGTACATCTCCACATGGCAATGCTGTGTCAATAGCTTTAGGCATGTTTTGCAGTAGGAATTGACACTTCGCCATTGACAGCCCCACCGAGTCGAGAGTTGGACCACGAGCCTTTATGCACCTTAAAGAGCAAGGAAGCAGGCAAGCTATATTCAGCTATCCCACTTGTGGTCGAAGTCCTGGCGCCGCAAGGCGAAGCTGGTCTCTGCAAGCAGCCTTCGTGAGGAAGTCCGCTCGAAGCTGCCTGACCGAACACAGCCTGCCAGAGGGACAGGTGGAGCCTGACAGCAAAGGTTCTAGGCTCGAGGCTGTTGAACCTTGTCATCTTAGAGGCGGGTTCGACAAAAAGGGATGGTGTTATTCTCGCGATGATGCTGGCTGGCCAGAGAGTTATGCCTCTTCTGATTACATCGGTTGTTGTGAGAAGCTGCAGCGCTAGTTCTTTTTCCTTGCTGGCGGCATTCAGGCTCGTCCAGCCTCGTGGGCTTGGGGCAGCACTCAAGGGCTTGGAGATTCAAGTACTTCGTGTTATGTTAACCCTACTCAGCGACAGGTCTCGTTCAGCCCCAATCTCATCGCCGTCGTATGTTGCATTTTGCTTGCGACGATTACGGTGCCTGCACAGTGTACAGTGTACAGTCCTTGTTGGCATGGCGAGGCAGCCTGTCGTTGTTGCAGGACATAGTCTCAAAATAACCTTGATGTGCAGCGAAAACGGATAAGTCACTCGTAGCAATTTCAGTACCATTCACTGTAGAACTGGCGTGCAATTTGATGTGCAAGGTTGTGTCTCAGTGTCAGTGGCCATGATTCAAAGCTATTGCAGGAAGTTCCCTCAGGATTGCGACACTGCCACGCTAGAAAAAACAGACTTCTTCGCAGCAGCCGGTCCGAGAAACGCGCGGGCCCCCTGTGAACTTTGGACATGGCCACGGCGTCTCGGCATGAGGCTTTCATGTCGTGTCGGGGATGGAGACAGCAAGCTGTCATTTCCAACGCTTGCCTTTCTGAGTGGACTGTGGATGCCTGTGGCGCTCAGGTTTCTTTCTTGATGGCCTCAGCACTTGCAGGATTCAAGGTTGAGCCACCCTTGTCCGGGATACTCAGGTGACCCTGACGACGCCGCGCTCGGCCCGCCTCAACCCAGGCGCGCCATTTCTGCCTGGCCAGAGGCCCAGATTTCTGCCACAGTTGGGCCATGTGGAATGTTGTGCACGTGGCGGCGCTCAATTGAGATCTCAAGACTGACAGGAACAGCAAGTGGACGTTTTCGTGCCACATGACACTTTGTGTCGCTGGTTGCCGTGAGAGTGACTTATCAGGAGTAGGTCACCGGTGTCATACTCGCCGGCTCCCCACCATGTTAACACACTCGTTAATACACAACGTGCAGGGGATCCACCGTCAGAATACATTCTGGTACAGGTGATGCAGAAGGCGGCAGCACGAAGACGAGTCACACTAGCTAGGCATGGCTCGAAGACGACTAACACTAGGCAGCACATGTCTGGTGAAGACTTCCCAATGCTTAGAAACTTCGGATCCCCAATAGCCTTCACGGCCAACATGCACGTGTCGCCACGATCAAAGTATAGAGCAATGAAGGAGTAGCGAGAACAAAAGCATCTCTTCTGCCAATAGGCCAGCAGTCAGCAGTCACCGGGGCGACAGCCACGGTTCCCATTCGAGAGCTGGGCTGCCGAGGCTTTGTTCCTCACCAAATCAGAACCAACAATGCCAAACAGCGACTCGGCGGGCCTCAGTGAAATCGGAAAGCTTCAATTACAGCCTTACCGGTTGTGTGGTGGTCTTGCAGTGTGGCTGGGCCCTTAGTAGATGAGGCCGGGCCATGAGGATTGTGGGTGTGTGTGTGTGTGTTTTTGTCGGGTTTCTTCAGTGACCTTCGGCCCCACTAGAAAGTGTAGTGCACTACAGACCCTTCACGTCCGACTCGCTCTTTCATGCAACGGGTGAGTGGGCGGGCCAATGGCTTGCGGGCTACTTACAGTAGCCCCACGCCGCAGCAGGAAAGAGATGGAGTTGCATGTTTGGTTTGCAGATCAGCAAGTGACATAAGTGTGAGCTCCGTACGAGGGGATATGAGGGATCTTGATCCAAGTGCTCAGGCAAACACTTTCCTATGCTGCGGGCGGTGAAACAGACAAGCCGTTGACGGCAAGACAGAGCCATGACAGCCGATTCCAGGGTCCTGGGGTAGGTTGCGTCCGTCGCTGAGCTTTGCAGCTAGCAACTTCCAAGTGTGGTGGGCATGAAGTTTCTCGGCAAGTTTGCGATGATCGCGAACTAGGTAAGTTTGCAGTCACTCAGTAGGACTGCTATTTCAGTCATGTGAGGGGATCCGAACGTTGCAGCCCAGGAAGGTGGCATTACCAAAGATAGACTTGCTCGGCCCTTGGTAGAGCTTCACATTAGGTTCGTGTGGTTGCTACGGGTAGGACAGTGAACTGCAAGGTGCAGCATCTGCTGAGGTCCGTCGTGGAGCACTTGAAGAATCCCTTCCACCGCTATGACCTGTCTGCCCGCTCCTTCACCCACGACGAGAAGCGAGAGATGAAGGCAAGAGTCTTAAACGTTCAGCAAAGCCACACAAGCCCGAGTCGCAACCTGGTTCGGAGTTCCTGCATGGCTCCGCCCAGGACTCTGCCCGAAATACCTACCGGCCCGACTTGCAGCCTGCGTGGCTGAAGCATGACCGTCACGTTCTTCGGCTCCTTGGCCTCAGTATCCCAATGCCACTTCTGGCGACTGCTTTGCCTCACAGTCCAGCGTGGCGATCCAGTGTCATTGGAACAGGTTCTACGCCTACTTCCAGGACACTGGCTTGATTTCTTGTGTCTTCTTGTTGTGGGCAGGGTCGTGATTGTGCGCGAACTCCCTCTCGCCTCAGGAGGCTGTGCACGAGAACCCGAAGGACCGGCTGCAAGGCTTTTGTCCAGGAAAGTACCAGGAAAGGCGACTAGGAGCAGGACAGGAGCAGCGGGAAGAGCAGGCTCGACGGTAGCAGGGGCAAGAGCTTGAGCAAAAGTCAGCAGACAGTAAGAGTAACCCGAGCGTGAGCCGGGGCGACTGGCATGACTATGGAAGTTGTGACCCGCGGGAAACGCGTAGCCAAGAGGAGAGTTTCCGGATCCGAGCTTGCAACGTCTACTTCTACCTGGAGCCTTGGAAGAAGGGTCAACATGCGAGCGAGTAGATGAGGGGTTCAGCGCGGAGCTGTAAGTCGCACACTGCTTGCAGCATCGGATGTTTCTGCTGCCGGAATGTAACCTTTGTCTTTGGACATGCGATAAGTTCTAAGTCGAAGTTGTTCCTAAACCCAGTTTCCAGACAGTGTGCAGGAAGGAGGTCGTGTGTTTCTCTGGTAGATTGCTGCAGTGCTTTTTGCGACAGTCCTGCGTTCGCTTACATGGCAGGCAAATCGCAATTCTCAAAGCCATTTTGGCTCTAGCAGCCTGGCTCTGAGCAAGCTCCGCCAGCCGGACAATTGCCCGCAGCAAGCTTTCTGCTGACCAGTCGTCTCCATCTGCGCGCCATGGGTGGCTACGGCAAAGCAAGCGGGAAGGGCATGAAGGGCAAGTCTGGCAAAGGAAAAGGAAAGGCACCGATCGATGATTGGGAAGAGTTCCCCCCTATGTCAAAGGGCAAAGGCAAGGGGAAGGGAAAGATGGAATCCAAGGGGAAAGGGAAAGGCGGCATGAAAGGGAAGGGAAAGTCGTCCTGGGACTATGAGCCTCCGATGCCCATGAGCAAGTCCAAAGGCAAGGGGAAGGGCAAGGCCTATGACTCCTACGACTACGAGTACGAGGAGTACTGGCCAACACCTGCCCCCGCCAAGGGCAAGGGAAAGGGAAAGGGAAAGAGCTGGACCGATTACCCGGAGCCCAAGGGCAAGGGCAAAGGAAAGGCCAAGATGGACATGGGCATGAAAGGAAAAGGCAAGGGCAAAGGAAAGGGCAAAGGAAAGCCCATGATGTACGACTACGAGGATGACTATGACTATGCACCCCCCATGAAGGGGAAGGGCAAAGGCAAGGGCAAAGCCAAAGGCAAAGGCAAAGGCAAGATGGAGATGGAGCCGCCCATGAAAGGAAAGGCAAAAGGCAAGGGCAAGGGCAAGGGCAAGAGCAAAGCCCCGCCCATGGACGAGCCCATGAAGGGCAAAGGAAAGGCCAAGGGCAAAGATGGCAAAGGAAAGGACGGAAAAGGCAAAGGAAAAGGTAAAGGAAAGGGAAAGGGAAAGCGTTGAAGCACTTTCCCGACGAAGAGATGCGTGGCAGCTACGAGCAACTGCATTGCATGTGCGTACAGAGTTCAAGGGGTCATCTCGATTGCCTACCGATGTGGATCATGCGGTGAAATCCTTGATCTCAACCATTGCCTGCAGTCAGTTGAATTTTTAAAAAAGACTCCCAATTCGGCGGCTGGGCACTTTGCACAGCCACAAGAGCGCCACGTTATCTCTTTGCTCCAAGGTGCTTTGCAGGAGAGAAGCATCTAGACTCTAGTCCACATTCTCAGGCTTTGGTATGCTGCGAAGATGAATAAACTCCAGGGTCTGGCAGTCTTACAAAGGCACGGGCATGTTCTCACAGCTGCGAGGCAATCTTCGTGTTGCGATGGGAGGTGTTCTAGCAGCAGATATCACAAGCCTTCGATGCAAGCTGGCAAGGCCTCTTTCATTTCTGGGCTTTGCTGGCGAGTTTGCGATTTCATTTGTTTGATGCCCTCTGGGTTCAGCCGCCATCCCTGTAGTCGCCACGTCACGCTTGACAAGTACACCTCACGAGCTAGAAATGGTGTAGAATCCGCATGTTTAAGTGGCAACTGGTTGGCTGGCGAATCCGTGGTATCAGCTGTGCCTCATGATTTCATGTCCAGGTGTAGCACGTTCGGTTTGTACACGTCTTCAATGTTGCAACACTGGCGAAAATGTGCGCGACCTGCTCTAGTCCAACTGTAGTTTGTGCCTAGCTGTGTAGACAATCTTGAGGCTAGGGCGGTTCGAGTTGAACATGTGCACATGTCATGTATTAGCTGAAGGTTGTGAAGGCCTGGGGTGTGGCTTGCGTTGCTGCGTTTGTGTTAGCTACTCTTAGTTGAAGGTTGTGAAGGCTTTATGGTGTGGCTTTTCAGCATTAGTCACCTGCAGCCGCCATCAGATGGTGCATTTAACAGCCTAAGAAGTCTCAACACCCGAACGCCGGTCCACTTTAGCCACGGCAAGGAAGATGGGACGATGATGGTGACGGAGCCTTGACATGATAATTCTGGATGGTCTTATCAGCGCGACCCTTTGCTGGTGGCTGGTTGTTGGTTGTAGGGACATCTTTTGATTCACATCGTGCAGATCTCTCCAGCGTGTATATGCACACCATTCTCGGGTCAACCGTGTGCATACCCGCAAACACGGTTGGAAATACGAGGCAAGCTATCAAATAAACTAACACTCGTATTTCCAGCAAGACTCGGCCACGTGCATCTAAGTCACGGGGTGGAAACGAGGGGTGGAAAATTCAGCTTGCTCGGGACATTGCGACACAAGAGTCCCCGACAGGATCCTGTTCTGTTTTTTCAGAGTTGCGGAAGTACGACTTCAGGTTACGACTTCACTTGCTTTCGATGTACACCGCCCTCAGCTGTGACGAATCCGGCCGTCAATGACACCACGACCGTTAAGAGCAGAATCGTCCTCCGCCCTTTCGGTAATAGTCATAGTCATTCATCACACGCTCATGGTTCCTCGAGGCAACTTGCGTCGTTCACTTTGCTCCCCCTGTTTCGCAGGAGCCAAAGGTCGAGAATTCGGGGATTACGCAGGGGACCTTCGTGAAGCGGCACCGCATCCCAAAGCCTGAAAGCTTGGGAGGCGTGGAGCTGCGGTTGAGGTTTGGAAACCGGTTCTAAGACTAAGGTCCCAAGCAGTGTTCCTGGCGACTAGAGCAGCACCCCACACCAGGTTTTTGGGCTAGGCTTCAGCGTTAAGGACAACCACGTTTTCGGTTTGGTTTGGAGTTTAGGTGGGCGATGCCTGTTGTGGTGATAATCAGGCGATCGCACAAGTCCTGATGCAAAAAAGGTTTTCGGGATCCATGGGTTAAAGTTTAGGGTTTGGGTGTTTCGGATAGCGTAGAGATTAGGGTTTACAGTTAACGGACCCATCGTGTTTTGGTGGGTTTGGGGATGTTTCGGGTTTTGGGACCCCTTACTGTAGCATTTTGGGTTTAGTTTGGGGTTTGCAGTCAACGCTGCAGCGTTTTCCGAGGGTTTACGGTTAGGCGACCCACGGGTTTCCAGCGTCCCAGAGGGTTTCGGGTCTTGGCGAACGGGTTTCACGGTTTGTACGGTTTTGGGTTTAGGTCCAGGGGACCTGGCAACCCACAACTCCAATTTTCGTTGTGGTGTCTTTCTCTCTTATCATACAACGCTTGCCGAGCACGAGTTAGTCACAGTTACTGTAGTCATCCTGCTCGTGTTTTGGCCGCGTGGATCATAGAGCATCGACTGGCAAATGGTAGCGCGAGATGCAGCAACACAACTTCGAAATAGCCAGTTTCGCGAGCTTGTTGCCGCAGTTGCACTCAGCTGCAGCCGTGTGAATCTGGTGGTGGCGGGGGTGTGAAAACCTTAGCGTTCTCATCACGCAGTACTTTGCCCCCATTGCAGGTGGCGTGTATCGCTTCGAGGACTTTCAGGCAGGATTTGAGTAACTGATGGGAGCAAGGTGTGCACAAGGTCGGTCAGGGGCTTATACTGGAGACTCGTTTTCGCCGCGTGCAAGCACTGTAAAGATAAAGCTTTCTTTATTGGCGAAGAGGTGCTTTCCCGGTGGTTCACCTGCACCTTGCATCGTAGGTTCGTCCACGCCAAGCGGAATGCAAAAATCAGTCAACAGGTCCCGCCCTTACCAACTTTTTTCCTGAGCCTCGGTCAGGTGGGTCGGGCCATCTCAGTCTACTCCCGTGTCTTCCGGCTCATCGGTTGTGACGCCTACACCAGGACCTTCTACGAGGCACGAGGTTTCCGCGGTTGGGTCTGGAGACTCCTCTTCAGTTTGACAATCCTTTTCAATGTGCATGGGCCACTGGTCCAGTAGCTTGAGCGCGGTACGTAACCATCCTGCACATCCCCATCATTTCCTGTTCGCGGTCCTGCGCTCTGGATGCCTGCGGTGATTACTAACCCTTCGTCTGGATTCTGAATATGTTACACAGAGCTACCGTAAGACGCGCTTGAACCTTGGAGGCACAATTCTGACGTATCAATAGTTCCCCAGTTCCAGTGCACCCCGCGCACACGCTGCAACAAGCCCAGTCTGCCCTGGGCCACACGATGCCGGAGGACGAGGACGCCTGGTCAAGTTGCGCATGATCAATTGATCTAGTCGTGATATGTTGCGATGCTTTGGATGCGCAGTCTTTTCACATCGCCAGGAGCTCCCCATGGACTCCTTCAAAGCGGCTGACCTTCCCGACGATGAGGAGCTCGTATCTTCAAGGTGCGAGCTGTCCGCAAATCTTCGAACACATCGTCCCAGTTCGCTCCAAGTTGCAATTGTGCTTGATCACCTTGCAAAATCTCCACCGATCTCCGTCGAGGCGCGCAGCCCTTCAAGAAGCCAAGGACCGCCTCTATAGAAGTATTCCAGAGGTCAGGGATTCGGGCTGGCGACCTTTGGGTTTGACGTTTGACTAAGGCCGCATACAAGGTAGATACTGGCCGCGAGTAGCCTCCTGTGGAAAAGGGATTAAAGGGATGGCCTGTTCACTTGAGCTGTCACGCCCTGTCGAATCTTGAGATGACACAAACCCAAGCGCACGTTGCATCAGCCAACGAGGCATACAACGAGAGTGCCGTGGGAGGCTGCTGCAGAAATGAGAAGCTGCAGCAGTATCTGGAGAACGATCGGAAGGTTCTGCGCTTCAACACATTCTGGGATGACCATACCAAATACGGCTCGCGCAAGCCACTCGACCTCGACGTGCAGCGGAGATGATTGTCGTTTTTTTCTGCTTCGTGCTACTTAATGAGGGAACTTGCCAGAATATTTTTTGCCAGCTGAGATTGTCCACGCAGGTAGGCTGTCTAAGCAGATTTAGCGGCTGGTTCAGGCTGAAGGTTGTTTGAAGGTGTCGTTGGCCAAAGACGCAGGGCTCCACCCGGCAAATCAGCCAAGCGAAGGTACTATACGATGCACTACTACCTCGCAGATGACACGATTGAGATGCTGGAGAACATGTCAAGGAGACCCATGCAGGGGAGAAGCGAACGCGTTTGCGGCAGTTTCTGAAAGTCTAAGTTGCAACTTTTGCCGTTCCTGATTTCAGCATTTGCTGCTTGCCGACTGATTTCTCAAAGGGTGTCCTACACAGTGGCAGGAATGCAGGCTGTGCTCCATACCCAATGTTTTGGCGGCGGTCGCCGCTGAGGAAGACTCTCGGCTTGAAGTCACAGCCTGCACTTGCAGGGCATGTGCCTTATCTGAGGATGGACTTCGTATTTTTGTTATGGTTGCGCTTGCCCTTGCTATCTTCCGCAGATAATAGGTCTACCTTCGTTGCCTAACTGTTTTTCAGTGTTTCAACACTTCTTTTTGCGATGCCCACTCTAAAACGTTGAGGCTCTTCGGCAAGCATAAAGAAGAATCCCTACACTGCTCTCATCGAACTTCAGCCCAAAGCCGGAAGCCTCCTTGGGACAACGAACAGATATGTGATCCAACTTTATTTACTCACTGATGAGAAGGCCTTAAAGCTGATACTGAAGTGATTGGCCTCCTCGTGTTAGCAGCCCCGCCGTTTGGCCAAATGCTAGGAATGCAAGCCCAGGGCAGACCCAACTTGACCATCATCCATAATCAAGTAAGCCTGACTAGACGGCCCTACAAACATGCCTCCGGATCGGTGATTGAGAGGTACTGCTTTGCCACGGCTCGTCTTGACATCCAAAGTTTCATCTTTCCACTTCTGCTTCATCTTTCTACTACTGCTGCTACTGCTACGACGGCGACGACGACTACTACTGCACTATTGCTGCTGCTACTACTTCCTACTGCTACTTACTACTGCTACTACTACTACTACTACTACTGCTACTACTACTACTACTACTACTACTAGATTGTCAGAACTTTTTCATGGGGCGATGTGAGGCTTCCGGACTGTGATTAGGGTCATGCAGTTTGGTGTCCTGTTGTCGTACCGGGGAAGCCTTCTGTCGTCCTACACCTCGTCAGTAGTCAAGACCCTGCAGTGCTGTCGTTGACGTGCCAAGTGGGTGACAAAAACTACTACTACTACTGCTACTACTACTAAAAACGGCTACTGATTACTAACTACTAACTACTAACTACTAACTACTAACTACTACTACTACTACTACTACTACTACTACTACTACTACGACTACTACTACTACTACTACTACTACTGCTACTAACTACTAACGACTGCTACTGCTACAACAACAAC